GTGTGTGTGTGTGTGTGTGTGTGTGTGTGTGTGTGTGTGTGTGTGTGTGTGTGTGAGAGATACATACGTATCATACTATAAACAATCGTCAGTTTTACGATGAATGTAATGTCAAAAGTCATTTGACGTCTCGGAGTAAATGTCGAAACACAAAACTGCGAAACTGTACAGCGTAGTAAAACTATGTACAGTTTTAGTATTCTATGTATATTTAGTAGATATTACTTGATGTAAGATTTAAAAAATCACATGGGCGCGCACATGTAGATCTAATTAGTCAATTGACTGCCTCCGTGGCCGAACGGTTACCACGCCGGACTGCCATGCAGAGGTCCGAGGTTCGATTCCCGGACCGCGAGAAATATTTGTATGGCCTACATTTATTTCTCTCGTGAGTTTGGGTGTAATTTGTGGTTGTCTATGTGTGTGTCCATGGCACCCGCGACAGAGGGTTTCCCTAGTGCGGGGCTATGTTGAGTTGTGCGTTATTGTTATTATATTAATCATTTTGTCGTGGTGATAGTGATTTGGGTAAATTTTAATAATAATAATAAACATTGTATGCGACATAAATACATCAATGGTGTCAAGTATTGTTGCCTACAAACCATGGGCCATCACCTCAAGAGGAAGTGCTTAATTTTGTGTAACTTCTATACAACCTGTTTCACAAAATAAATGTGTTATGAATTACGACGTTGGCTGGTTCAGCTCATGGAATTAATTTTAACTGTTAAATATTAAACAAGGACGTTTTGAATTTGTTCATAATATTGCAGGTTACTGCCAAACGTTAATATTTTTATTTATAAAATATCTACTTGCTCACGATATCTTGACCCCAATTTAAACTGTTGATTTTTCTTAATAACTCTCGGCGATCTTCGTTTTGTCTGTCGTCATCCGTCCGAAAAAATAACTGTCAAATAAGTAATACTCGACTAAATTAAAAGACGCATGATGCGAGTGAAGCTTCATACTTGACGTTGTCTTTTAATTTGGTCGAATATTACTTATTTGACAGTTATTTTTTCGGACGCACGTCAGACGGAGAACAGGAGTCGACCCCCAGTTGCAGACCGGACGAATTATTATTGTTGCGGACTGTATCAATGGGCTCGGGTGGGTGCTATCAACGAGTGAGCAAGGCCAAAGTAAATGTACTTAGTCTATTACAAAACAATGCACCGTTATCATTAGTTAATAATAAGAAAAGGCGCCAAAAGCATTCACATTTTGATTTAGAATTTAAATATGAAGCCAAACTGAAAAAGATTATACTAAAATATATACAAAAGAGCTTTGTAGCGACTGCTATTCGATACAATTATATTAATAGCTTTATTAAGGGTTGTAAGTCTTTGATGGTCATAATGAAGATAATATAAATTGATAAGTAAAGAATTAAGGCGAGTCACTTCACGGGTCAGTTTAGCTATTTATTAAATAACGGTTTTGCAAAAAATATACGATACACGTAAGGATATTGTCTAAACAAAGTGCTAATTTGTTGCACGTTAGGATATACTTCACCCGATCATATAAAATCCAGGCTAAATAATACTGGCTAAAATAAAAGTCTAAAACTAATTATTTAAAAATAAAATATCTAAGTTTGCACACAATTTTTACATGGAGATATTTCTCGTTAATTACGTTAATCGTGAAGCCCTATTAGTTATTAAATTCACATTAATCCCAAAGTTTGAAAATTACCCAGCGGTTTAACGACACGCCGCAACGTCCGCTGCCCCATCAGTCGCCATCGGGCGCTTGTCAACGTCGGATCTTTGTCAAATTTTCTCTGTCTGTTCTTATTTTATTGAGGTTTAGTACATTTATTCTCACTAAGAATTATAAATAACTCACTTACATGGGAACATAGAGAAACATAATATTACAATTTTCAAAAAAAGCGTACAAGGAATCGTCCTTTTTTAAGTTTAACTACAAATTTAATCAAGTTTTACCCGCATTCTAATGTAATAATAGACAACACAATCTCAGGTACTAACTATAAGCGCAACCATGGACGTACTCAAAGACTACGCCCACTGCTTATACTAGATGTGGCTCTTTATATTAATTTTATTTCTTTTTAGACTTTTACAAAAGACAACAAATGATAAAAACTGTATATCATTACAGGTGGTATTTAATTTTCTTTTATTAGTGCTAGTAATTTATTTATATTTTTACGCGGGTTGCAGGACGCGAGGGGCGGTCCCCTAGATCTCACCTCCTAAAATGTAAGCTCACGTCGAAATACTTCGCCTTAATAACCGGAAAAAGACTATAGATATATATAATAAAAAAACTAGCCACAGTGACGCCACTGCAGCTTATAGAAATAAGCATCTAATTTGATGGCGTCGTAATCTTATTTTTATAGCCAATGTCATATGATAACGTCGTGAGGTTTGCCAACAATTTATCATCATAGAATGATGATGTCATGTGGTCATAAGCTATATTATCATTAAAATTTAACATATTTTATATACCTCTATCGGGTACTTCAAACTTCTTGACTCTCTCTTGTAACTCTCTATTTCTCTCTTCAAACTCTCTGTTTCTCTCTCGTTCCTCTTTGAGGACCTTCTTACAGTCTTCCACATATTTAACTAGGTCTTCATACTGCTTTTTCAGTTTGTCATTCTCATCGGCAAACAATTTGTTGTACTCAAGTACTGTTTTAAGTTTCTCTTTGAGTTTTGTCATTTGTGACTCTTTTTGTGATATCTGGAATAGAAGAAGCAAAACTATCATATTTGTTCTACAGAACGATGTTAGCCTATTATGAGAACAGATGCTTCTCAACTGTAGGGGACATGTTGAATCCGAGTGTAGGCATGTACAGACGGCGGCACATCAAAACACACATTGACAAATCTTGTTCTGTTCGATATTCGAACAAAAGTATACAGCTTAATGTGCTGTTAACTGTACGTATGACTTTGAATTTCTAAGTTACATACATTTATGAATGTTAAGTAGCATTCCTGTACTCACGGAGCTATCTCCGCTCAAACATCCGCAGAAATGTAGCGGCATCTTGCGAAAGAGCAAAAATGGCCATCGACTCTCGGCATTCTATTCACGGTCACTAACAGTGCAAGAGAGACTGAAGAGTCAGACAAAACTTGTCAAATGTGTCGATCCTCTGAGCATTGACCCGGCTCTGGCGAGGTGCAACCTTTGGCGCGAAACAGTACCATCTATGTTTGTCCCGCCTTCTGTAAGTCTTCCTCCTGGACACGAATTGCCATGGCCGATCTGGACGTCTTTGAATAGGCTTCGAACTCAGGTTGGTCGCAGCAAGGACAATTTGTTCAGGTGAGGATTTTCGGATGGTTCTAACCTGGACTGCTTGTGCGACCTTATGTCGTGCCCTAACACCCGCACGCTTGAGGATTTAATGGCAGCTGCTAGTGACGCGGTGGGCGTGGCTGAGTTCTGGGCCACTATAGTATAATGTATGTCATCGAAACGATAAGAAGAAGAATTAGCATTGCCTCTCACAATGATGAAGAAAAACTTCGTGATGAAATCCTCATATTGTAGAAAGCTCACAGCACTTGGAACTGCCTGGCAGACCTGGAGGACCGTCCCCAGTAGTAGGATGTATAATGGGTTGACAATGGTGATGATGATTAAGTTAAATACACTAGTGGTAGCCAGAAGCCAGACACGGTCGCTTACTAAAAACATTACAAAAAACTAAATGTTTCTCAGAATAGTATGAAAGAAGTGAATGAATAGTATGAAGTAATAGTATTATTATTATTATTATTGTTATTGCTACTTCTACTGCTACTGCTACTGCTATTACTATTACTATTATTATTGTTATTATTATTCTGGAATGGTACCCAAGAGAGGGAAAAAGGTACAAATGGAGATCATACTTTAGGCGGGAAGACAATTTGAAATATGTTGCTGGAGGAGCATGGAGGCAAATAGCAAAGGATAGGGAGATTCCATTTCTCCTTCATCTCTGGAAGAGGTCTATGTCTTAGGACAAGCTGAAGGTACCGAATCAACAAATTTGAGTAATAATAAGTATATATATAATAAGTACGCATATCGTACAATGTTTCTGTGTTAGAGAAGTTAGTATGTAAGTTATCAGCAATAAAGGCTATAAATAATATTAAAAAATGGTACTTAACAAGACATCTATGCAATTTTTTTAATTGAACACAATAAATGGAATAAATTTAAAATTTCAAAATGTCATACTCACCAATACAACATTCTCTTCACATCTGTCCATCAAAGCGGTGATAAGTCCTTCATATTTCTTAGTAAGCTTTCGTTTTTGCTCTCTAAGCAGCACTTTCTCCTTGTTTGGTCTTGGTGATGTCACAGCCATAGCTTGAATGTTCCGTTTTCTTGGTGGTTTCGGAGGTTTTTCTCCTTAAAAAGAATAATCAGCTTCATCAATTTTATAGATAGAAGATAGATAAACACTTTATTGCTCACACACATGAACAAGAACAGTACATAAACAACTCAAAAGTAATGTAGACAAAGGCGGTCTTATTGCTAAGAGCGATTCCTCCAGACAACCTTTGAGGTAGAGGAAAACTAATCGGAGCGGGAAACGTAGTGTGCCAATTTTACAAATAAAAATGGATTGTACAAATAAAAAAAATAAAAATCTAAGGGTCGTATTCTAGAACTCTACTCAATGCTCAAGTCAGAATTTGAGTATGGTTTAAAGCACTTGAAATCATACTCAAGTGCCTGCCATTACGGTCGTATTTCCAGTGCTTGAAATCATACTCAAGTCTGCTCAAGTCCTGACTTGAGCACTGAGTAGAGTTCTGGAATACGACCCTTAGTAATTTATCAAATAATTAATAAATAACGATATATGAAACCTACATAAATACTCGTATATGTACATATAAATATACCTAAATGAACTTATACTTACTAATAAATACATACACATTGCAGACTAGGACAGTGTTAGAAGGTAATTACGCAATCTGGTTTTGAAATAGGGAGCGACTTAGAATGTCGGATTTCAAATGGGAGATCGTTCCACAATTGTGCAGCCTTAATTGTAAAGGAATCTTTGTAATACTCAGAGCGAGTGAAATGAGGCTTCAGTAGGTTAACAATTTTAGATCTTAATTCACGGTTGTGATCATCCCCGAGGAAGCGAAAACGATCCTTAAGGTATTTTATATAGTAGTACTAGTAGATTAGGAATATAATAGAAATTATTAATGATAAATAGCTTTCAGATACTACAATGACAGTTTGTACAAATATAGATATACAATGCTACAATGGGAGACTAGTGTACAAGGTAAGAACCTGTGTTATGCATCACCAGGCCTTCACGGTAAAAATCGTAAGTAAATATAGTTATGACGGTGTGACCTCCTTACATCGTCATCCTACCTTTTTATTAAAAATTTCTTATTTTATTCTAACACCTTTTTAAACACCAAATTCTTTTGCATCGCATTCTGATTTGTTTCGTTCCATCGTCACTCCCTGCCCGATCGCGGCAGAGAACACATCTTCTTGTTATTTTTTTGAACCGTTTACCGTTTTACTAAAAATCTCTTGTACAATATACATTTTTAAGATCATAAGTATTGTTAAAACCGCAATAAATACTTATAAAACTGGATTTATTACCATCACCCTTTACCCTTATGAATTTTAAACTTTACACTTACTAAGTAAGATGTATGGAGGCTGCGGAGGCTACTACTACATTCCATACAACAGGACATAGCGCCACCAGCACCAGAAGCCCTCTCACAAAGTGATAGTTTAGCAAGCTATTATAAACCACAAAACAAATACGAGAGTATACGCACGGGTCCATGTATATATGCATATTATTATTGTCAATTACTTTTATCCTTCCGACTATTACTCGCATCCATAATTCCTATAAATTCTGCAATGTACAACTGGGATAAATGAAAATCTATATACACAGTCCTTTTTTTATAGCACCAAGTGACGGAACAAACAAGTCGTGCGCCTGGTGGTACGTTGCAGTGCCACTTAAAACTTTTAATCGCAAAGACCTTAGGGACACTGCCACTGTGCCCCTCACCCAGAGACATACGTTGACAAGTCCTATGTGCCTGTAATTTCACCAGCACCATTCCAAACCGGGCCTCAACAATGCTCCCATTACTGCTTGGCGGCACAAATAGCTATAGTGGCAGTACTTTCCTGGACGAACTTTTTCATAGAGAGCTCTTCTGCTACTTTACTATTTGATATTTATATGGAAAAAATGTATAATAAAAAAAATATTTATATGGAAAAGATATTTGATGGAAAGTATTCCAGACTATCCGATTGCAATTATACTTGCAACCTTATACATGTTACATAAATAAATACATAAATGAAACTATTATTCGGGATTTAAATCGCGTATATTTGTTTTTTCAAACAAACCGACGTTTCGGGCCCTTTACAGGTCCCATGGTCACGGTTGTCTGACCAAACCGGAATTATATAATTAAATAAATAAAAAATAAAATATATAACGGAATCCGGAAAAATAGTTTCACTTCCTATGTGTAACAATCGCGAAAACCTTAAGAACTCGATAGATAAATAAACACAAGTGCTTCAATTACTTACTTTGGGACCAGAGCAACTTAGATGATGTTGTCTAATATAATGATGTTGTATATAATTTATTTATATTTTATTTGTCTTACTAGGAGAAACCTTACCAATAACATCTCTAGGATCCTCATACATGGGATTATCATCCACATACAGTTCCTGCCCCATTGCAGTCTCAGTCCGTTTCATCACAGTATCTAGAATATCCTTCTTCATACTGCTTCGTCTCTCCAATACCACATCAAAACCACGGACACCCTTCGTGAAGTTTCCAGAAAAAGTGTGGAGATCGGGATAGAATTTAGCTAAACATTTTTTTGATGCTTTACTATGGTCTTGACCCTGTATCATAGATAAGCAAGATATACACAAAGAATCACGACCACTGCTGGGCAATATTGGAATAAAATTCATTATTTTGTAGCTGGAAGAAATTAACAGTATATAATAATATGCCAAACACCAATTATCTGGCCCAGTCGCGTATCGTGTGAGGTGCAAAGAGGGCCATCGCCCTGAGTGGCACAGATGAATTTTTTTTATTTTATGATATCACATGACGGGACAAACAAGTCGAGCACCTAATGATAACACGCCTGTCCATAACAGTTACAGTGCCACTCAGAGCTTTAAATTGCAAAGATCTGAGAGGTACCACCAATGCACCCGTCACACTGAGATAAAAGTTGACAAGTCCTATTTGCCTGTAATTTCACTAGCACCCTTACCCTTCCAAACCGGAACACAGCAATGCTGACACTGACATTACTCCTTGGCGGCAGATAGGTACGGTGGCAGTACTACCCTGGACAAACTCTTTTACAATGAGCTCTACTGCTACTTGTAATTAGACCAGACAAAATTATTTTTTTTAAGTAAGTTCCAATAACTCGAACACGTTAACTACTAATTTTAACTGTTTTGAAAAGAAATTTTTCTGCTGTCTTTTGCTATTTAAAACGGATATTCGACCATTTGTCACTTAGCCACATTTTAGTTAGTGGACGGCAGAATAAAGAGGGTAACAAAGTTAAGGTCGGCCATGGGCAGCAGAAATCAATGAAGATCTGGTCTCAAACGAGGGAATACCTAGTACTATGACTACTAGAGCTACAGAATTCACTCTAATGCACCAAGACCAGAACCAATTTAGAAAAGTTCTTTTCCCAAATAGGTCCTACTGGGAATGAGTTTGACTCATGACCTTCACATCCAATGCAAACTACCGGGCCACAGAGGATGAGGAATGCAGAAGGCAAGACACATAGGAAATGAAACTAATAATTTTCAGAGTTAAATTGCATAATTTTGTGGTCAGTCGTGACCATAGGACTTGTTTGAAATAACGAAAAGGCATGATTTAGATCCAAAAGAAATTAGTTTCATTTTCTATAGACAAATCCACGTTATTTTTTGTTTAAAATCAAACTAAACTTTGAAACAACTCACCATAGGAGAACAATGTACAAAGTTTGCAGGCTCCATCGTCAACTACCAAATATCCCACCGGATTTCTTTCCCATCTTGAGTAATTTTACTTTATAAATTGACGATAACAAGGACAAAGAAATTGCTAAAAATATTCTTCGAACACCTTCTTTGTCCGTGACTGTTGCTATAATATCGTGGCAAAGGTATACAGGTCACACGAAATATGTGAAAACTTTCTAAGTAGGTCACTGAACTGGTTCAATACAAATATTCAATTGTAAATATAAAAGAACAATATTGACAAAACTTTTATGTTACATAATTACACTACTTATCAACATTAAACACTATATTTGACTATTTTAATTATATAAAAATATTCACATTCACTTCTCTTATGTTTTTTGGCATCGGATTGCGATATTATTTAGGAATTAACCGACTTTAATATAAATTTCTACGAAGAAAACACCGGCTGTTTGACAGTTTTGTTACCATGGTAACGTAATGTTATGTGATGTTCGAACTTAGAAGGGTTGTTCGTTTTATAAAAAATCAGAACTTAATGGATTTTAGCATGATTTTAGTCTTTTATTTTATTTATAAAAGTGGTAAAATAACGTGTGTTAAAAAGTTGAAGTTCTAAGGGTTGTATTCCAGAACTCTACTCAACAACGAATAAACTCAACTCAACAAGTCAGGGCTTGAGTATGATTTGAAGCACTAGAAGTCATACTCATATTCTTGCCCTTAAGATCGTAATTCCAGTGCATGAAATCATACTCAAGCCCTGACTTGAGCATTGAGTAGAGTTCTCAGAGTTTAAGGTATAATAGAGTTTCATTTTTGAGCCTTAGAAATCGTGTCATCATATCTTCTATGGTGATATAATTGTAAGTCAATGATGGTGATGGTCTATTTCGAGGTTCGAAATGCAAAAGACTCTTTTGAATTATGCGATTACTAAGTACTTACAATTACGACAATGATTTAGACATATTTTAGAAGGGATGCGTTAGGATGGAATCATTTTAAAGTCTCCTCGTCCATAGACCGCGAGGTGCAGGAGGTCGATGCTGGGGAAAAGGCCCCGGAGCTGACTGTAAGATTCTTTGCCAAGGATGTGGCTACTATCATCAAGAATATGGTTAGAGATAAGTCCACATGACTTGACAGCCTTCGCTTCAGCCTGTGGGTCAGTTACACGCGGCGGGCATAAGCGCTCTGCGCATACAATACAACAACGCGTTCAGGGTGCAGATAGGTATCGGCCATGGTGCCTCCCAGAGCAGATGGAGGGCACACAGAGGACCGGTCAGGACCCAGATGAAATACCTGGGCCTTGTCCTGGACCGGCGATGGAACTTCGGGGAGCATTTCCGGCAACTTGCTCCCCGAATAGTGGGCGCCGCATGGGTCGGTTCCTGCCCAATCTCGGGAGGCCGGGAGCCCCATGCAGAAGGCTAGACCTGCCCCTCCGTTGGTGCGGGGGCCCTGGCGCAAGCTAGACCCCACGGCGCCGACTCAACCGGCGGGAGGTAAACCCGGGGGGGTTTTAGTAGGGTAGGCCCTCCAGTCTGGAGGGAGAGTCCCCACATAACCCCTGAGTCTCCCTGGGCTCAGGGCTATCTATAAAAATTACACCCCGTAAAAAAAAAAGGACGTACATGACGGTGGCTTGCGCTGCCGCATGCGTCCTCGCCGGTACCCCGCCGTGGGTCCTTGAAGCCGAGGTCCTGGCGGAGGTCTACGCCTACTGGCGGGGAATGAGGGACCGAGGCGAGCGCCACGCTCCCCAAGAGGTCGAGCGAGAGCGCCGCCTCGTGGTGCAGCACATGCGAGACCAGTGGAAAGAGGGCTTGGCGGACCACCCCTATGGAGCTCGTACGCTGCTCGCCTGATCCCCTAGTGTGGCCAGCGGGCTCTGGGCAGGGACTCCGGAGCCTGTATTGCACGGCCTCACTCGTCTGGGGGGCGGGTCGGAGGACAACTGACCTGCCCCTCCGTTGGCGCGGGAGCCCTGGCGCAGAGCGGCCGGGCGGCGTCGTGGTGAATATGCACCGACCCCACGGCGCCGACTCAACCGGCAGGAGGTAAACCCGGGGGGGTTTTAATGGGGTAGGCCCTCCAGTCTGGGGAGCCAGGGAGAGTCCCCACATAGCCCCTGAGTCTCCCTGGGCTCAGGGGTATCTATAAAGATTTACCCCGTAAAAAAAAAGTAAAGGGTCCAGATAGGTCGCGGCCCCGCTGTAGCGCGTCCGGCATGTTCTGCGCGGCGCGGTTGGATGGTTACTAACAGTAGTTACATAGGAATATGACTGTATATTAACAAAATATGGATTATTTTTTATCTGAAATAAATTACATCTATTTTAGACTTTTAAATTACATTATTATTATAATTACAACCCGTACTTGTTTCCTCACAGGAGTTTTCAGGTACCTACAGTTACTTTTTGTTGATTTAGACTTTTTTTTTGTTAAAAAGAAAAACAAGATACCTATTGTAAAGTACATAATAATACATCTTCTAAGATATGTTCGCGTAGGCGATATTTTCCTCCTCATGAATGTTGAGTTGTTGATCATCTTTGATTGAATACAATACACAAGGTTTATTTTTAAACACATAAGACTTTGAGGGCTAAGGAATAATTCTTATTTTATAAGTCCTTTCAAAAAAGTTTTAACAAATTATTATAAACGTATACTTACAAAACTTTAGGAATGATACCTTGATATTTTAAATAGGTACTAAATCCTTCCAATAAATATACTTAAAATTGAAAGAATCGGAAATAATATCTCAAGTTTAGAAAAAAATCTTCGTCTTCCTTTGTAGGTATATGGTGAAATTAAAAAAAAAGAAGGCCTAATTTTTAAAAGGAGGTTTAAAATTTTGCACACTGGAAGAACATTTTACAACCTAATTCCCAATCCCATTTTTATAATTTCCGCGTCTCACCTTACCATCATCGGATCGCCATGATTCATTGGTGATTCATTGTTATCATTTTCATCGCGTTATCAGCCGTTCACACGTGGCGTTCACATGGTCACGTCGTTGTCGTAGTTCCAAAAAAGCTCAATAGATGGCGCTAACTGCCTTCAAAAACATATTTTATTAAAACAATTCATTGTCAAAATATAAAATAAAATTACTTTATTTTTGATTTTGACCATGTGATAAGCGTGTATAAATACGATATGAATGAGAGTTACATGAATCGTATTGTATTTGTATTTAGCCGGGTTTATAGTAATTGAGGGCATGCGCGAGAACAGCTGAGCGACGAAAGCGCCACGAAGCGGACAGCGGTGAACAAAAAAGACCAGTCGCATGATGTCTGCCCGCCGGTTCGGTGTATGACGCTCGGCGCATTGAATAACCTAAAAACGCTCTGTTGTTACTCCGTCCTCTTTAATTATTGTACTTTTTTAATAACCATTTATTTATTTTATCAATTATTTGGTAATAGATTTTAAAAGTGTACCTTCAAACAGTGAATATTGTGCTTGTGTGCGGATACGCACTAGCCGTATCTTTGCTTGTGGCGTTTATCGATTTTCTACAATGAGTATTACGTTTTGTTTACTTTTTTATTTCATGTGATTATTTACAATCATGTTTGGTGTTAAGTATTCGGTGTTTGTGTGGTAGCGTGAGATATTCAATTATGTGCGAGGGTCCGCGCAAGAGTTCGTGTTTTGGATGACAAAAACATGGAATACGAGAACGATTTCAGCTTGAAAGAATGGGCGAAGGACAAACCTTTGTCCATTCTGCAGCTGGATCCGGCAGACCGTGCAGTTTTAAGGATAGCAGGTAAAATATGACAACAGTCACACTTGTTTTATACCTACGTTCGAAGTTGAAACAATCTGTAATGGGAACCCCAGTTCGCGTTCCATAACTGACTGAACCAAAATATCTTTTTAGTGCCTCCTAATAAGAACTTGTTATCTGTTCCGATAACAGTGACATTTTGTGATAAATGTGCTTTAGATTAATGGATTATTTAACGTAATAATAGGTTAAAACTTATGACATTGATACAGAAGATTTTAGGATAGATGTTTTACTATTTTTCACATGGCAACCACTAGTTTTCACTTTCAAACGTTGCAATTGTTTGTTAGGCATTTTTTGGTGTAAGTTATTTGGGTTGAGTAATTTTTGTAGCGCGGTTGTTATAGTTATTACTCTCATAATTACTACCTACAAGTTGTAATAGGCTGAGAGACGGAAGAAGTGTACAAAAATATGTTTTTAATGGCGGGACTTCTAAAATGAAATGATCATGTGTAATAATTCACACAAATGTGACATTATTAACACTATTTATATATCTGCTATACTAGCATTTATTAGCACAATTATTATTATAGTAAACATTATTGTTATATTACTATTAATAAAGAACTGTGTAAACAATACTAATTAAGTTTTCATCGATTTATTTGTGTAGTCAAAGGTTCTACCATGCAGCCTCTTTAAATGTTATTACCTTTTCCTTGTTTTGATGGTCATTTTGTTGAGTTCGTGCACAGATCACCTTATTGTTGCCAATCTCCCGACTTGCATGGAAAGTAAAGATTTTCAGGGGTACTAAGACATTTTCCGTACTATCACAGCACGGTACGAAAATATTCCGATTTTTCTATTATTTATTAAATAACTAAGTTACTAAAATTATATAGCCTTTGGCTACAAGGCCTGCTTCTAAACTAATTACAAAAAAAAGTTGAAACTAATGTTACATAAACCAAGCCCCGACTAGAATCCCACGTCCCACTTTTTTTTACGCATCTGTCACGCATTTGGACACATCGGTCCTGACACCACCAACTATCTTTTAAATTTCACTACTAGGCCCGCTTACTTATTACTTTTTGTGTTTATTACCACTAATATTTCGACTGAAGGACTTGAATCTAAAAGTCATGAAATAAATTTAAAAAAGTTACTAACTCCCTTTTAACACGATATGTAGTTATGTAAATACGTAAGTACTTGCTATCTATGATGCTATTGCTTAGACGCCTTAACCTTTCCCGACGAGTGAAAAATCTTAGGAGTTTCAAAATGGCCACCGTAAAGATTTAACGATTTTCCGCGAAAAAATGTCAGAAAATGAAACTATTGAAGGAAAATTACAATCTGCGACCTGCGTATGGCCAATTAGATGCCTTAGCCTGTCCCGACGAAAAATTTTACTAGATAGGTACTACTAAAGAGTAAGATTACGTTAAACAAAGTTATCTATTTAAAGTCTCTTGACCTCCTCTTTTCCCAGATGATAATAGTATCATCTGGGAAAAGAGGTACATAGGTACCTACTATGAATAATTTGCGGTATCATAATTATTCAGAAATACTAAGGCAAGAAAGTTGAAGGCATTATTTCAGAAAATAACACTTACTACATAGATTTACGATCTGCTCCTTTCTGTTTGTAGAAAGGGTACAATTATTTATGTTTTTACTGGGAACTCTGGGACACGCTCTTGTTGGTCGCACGATGTTTTATTGATTTTCTTTGTAAATGTTATCTGAAATAAATCAACTGTATTGCTAGCAGGTTTTGAGCTTGCAACCGCATTTTATACTTCAAGTATGTTCAAATAAAATCATCTAGATTGAAAATGAGCTTTAATGTGACTTTGCTTAAGAATGCTTTTTCCATCATATTCATAGTCCTATAACGCTAAATTATCATCAGACTTGGAAACTGAACTCAATTAGATAAATGCAATACGCGATACCCACCTGCTAAATTGTAAACTTTTGGGAAGACCGAAATGAAGGTCTGTGCGAAAAAAATAAAACACTGGCGCCAAACTACATTTAAAATCATAATTAGAAACATTTTTTACGATTTTAAATCTAGATAAAATGGAAAGTCGGGCCCTTTACAGGTATCACAGCCGTGATAATACGCGATTTAGATCGGAACAAAAAAAAATTGTTTCATTTACAATGTACATATAACAACCCTAAGAAAACGAAAACCTAAGAAATCTAGTAATAATATATAAATAAAAATATACAAATATTTTTTACCTGGCTTTTCTATTTACCTACCTAGTTTTTAATAGAAACAATCGAGAAGTGAGTTACATACGAAAAGAAACTTGAAAATAATACGACTACTGTGACGTTTTTCTCATTTGTATGTCTAAGTGCTTTCACCAAGTTTCTTAGGTCGACCCATCCATTGTAAGTAGCAAAACTGTACCCCAAGGAACCCCGTTTCCCGTTGTAATACTCTTTATTTATCATGCCTCATTGTATGTACAATTTTCGGACATTTAATACACTCATTTTGAAAAATTCTTTTGACTATTTGAAAAAAGAATGACTGCAATCGTCTTCTGATTTCAATCGAACGTTCTAGTATATGTGGCAGGGGTTCATATGGAAGTTGTTATCATAATTTAACCTTTGTATTTAGCGTTATTCTAATTATCCATGTTCTTGTAAGTGTCCATGAGTATATTCTAGTTTACTACTAAGTAAATTATATACTTATCATCACCATTAACATTGTACACAGAACAACTTCACCCACGGCTAAGTATTACCCATTGACTTACAATTATATGGACGTCGGGTCCGCGCTAAAAAGTGTCCGCACTTGTAAGGCGCTAAAATCGTATACAGAGCGCGACACTCCGCTTTAGTCTTCATTTGTTCTACTGACAGCGCGATATTGCGATGACATTACAATTTAAATTTCGAATAGGTTGACTTGGGACATTTTTTTCGTGGTTTTTGTATTAGACCCGTCGTCCATTTATTTGTAAGTCAATGGTATTACCATTACACACCGTGATTTTGCGCTTGTCTCACCATCTATATATATTATTATTATTTGGGTGGCCCTTGCAGCTCTTCATCCATGCCCGTAAAAACCCTCTACTTATTTTTGGTGGTGGTAAGATCCTCTGTTTGTTCAGAACTCACGTGGGCAAAATAATTGTGTTTCAGAGGGAGGATAGAGAGAGTTAAAAGTAACTAAGTTAGACGTACGTCGTGACGTCAAATGACAGATAACCTGCATGACGTCATTCATTTAATACCTACATAGGTCGTAAAGAACTAATCTAGGTCTAGTTGTTACGCTTTTCTAACCGCTTAACGACCAAGACCGCCTGACCTTTCACATAAGTCGTTTCAAAGCTACAAAGGTTAATTTTCTCCGAGCGAATTTGTGTGCAAATTACTTGGTTGAAATCTTCCAAGGCGAGCTTTATCTTAATAAAAATGGAAGTAAATTAATTTGCTACTCCGAGAACCCAGTGAAAGAAGTGAAGGTTAAATCGTGCAAAATAGCTGCGTTTGTGTTGAATATTTTTTCATGCAGTTAATTATAAATAAAATTAATAAAATAAATAACACAAGCGCAACTATAGTCACAAACCATCACCAAAAATATACCCAACACGTGTTTCGCCTCTCCACGAGGCATCCTTAGGGGCTGTTGACTGCTTGACACTCGGCCGAAGAGTGAGCTCGTTCAAAACGGTTGGTGTATTTATACCCCGCTAGCCCCAGTGTTGCTATTGTTGAAACCTGAAAATACCCGTAATAAAAGTGATGATGCAAAATTCAATTGTTCATTAATTATGTAACCCCTGTTGTTGTACTTAATTATTTCCATCTGGTCTAAGACACCCAGACGTAGTCTTTTTTCGCAAAAATATAAGCTATCATAAGTATGGGTGCTTATGCCTAAACGAAGAAATAAGCTCTTTATATCTGGTTATAAAGTTACGCCCTGTTTGAACTATATATACACTGTTACATGTTACACTCCCGACGTCTTACCACTTTCCACTCTTTCCTTGCCATTGCAAAGTCAAGAGCGCAAAATGTTATTTGTCTTATAGCAACATTTGTATCATTTGATTTCAAAATTTTATAAATCTTTTCTGACAAATGGCCAACATAAGTAATGCTTGCTTTATATTTATTAATAGGCTGTGACGAAACCGCAGTATACAATATGTTGTTGACTATCTGCCTCTGTTTTTTGTGAACTAAGCTTTTTAAGCGTTTTACTGTAACCGTTAGAAAGTGCAATCTGATAAATAATATTTAACTCTAAATTATAATGTTTTTTAGAAAGAGGGACTGTCAACAACCTATGCATATAACACTTAATAGCAGCCATTTTATGTTGCAATTTTTATTAACATGGACTTCCGCAAAGTAACGCCTGAATCTATTAATTAAGAGCTTTATCTTATGTTGTGACTATTATTTTGGAATCTAATAGATTATCTAATTGATAGTAATGTGTCTAATTATACGTAATATATATTTTTGAACGAAACAAAAACAAGATTACATATCCCAGACATCATTCGGCTTTTAGTCACGCATTTGCTAGAAATGTTAGTGATGCCTTTGTCGGTAAAACCGTTCTGCCGTCATAGTCACGAGCGGACTCTCTCCGTAAGAAATTTGTTTTTATACATGTTATCTTATATATCCCATTGAAGGCACTACGGAGACTTTTTCCTATAACTCTTTTAAGGGGTGCTGAAAAGTAACTAAACACAGGGAAAAATCACTGTGCACTCGTCTTCACAAACTATTGTTTTAATAAGAAGCGAAGAAAGATATTTTCGGTATGTCGTAACTATTTTGAAAAAAAGCGAAAACCATTTCGAAATCTGTGGAATCTCCTAATTAGTTTCACTTCTCGCCTGCACTTGTTTATTTATATACTATAGTAAGCATTACACTCATTGGACCTTGATGGAATTGATAGTCAACATTCTAATGAAACTCGGACGACAATGGTGAAAGCACGATAC